CACATTTTAGTTATAAGATATTGAAAGTGAAGATTTGTTTTTATCCCATAGAGATACACAGACCCTCTTCAGTTACTACATTTAATGCATAAATCTCTTGGGATGTGTGTACTGCTGTACTATTTGAACTGTTTCTCCTTTTATCTAAGATTAACACCTTCCCCGTGTGTCTTAGATCTTACTCCTTCTCACTTGCTCAATAACAGTGCTCCAATAGTTTCCCCTTTTCAGTGTCTCCTAAGTTTGTTTTTCCTACTAAGAACTGAATCATTCTCATTAGCAATTCGTCTAGCTCCTTATTTATCCAAAAGAATATAATGCTATATTCCTTATTCATGCGATCCTCATTGTAGCAGAACTCCTTGAAACCATTGTCTCTATTCTTTCATTCTTTGTTGGTAAGGTTTTAATCCTGATACTCCATTGAAAATACTGTGTTAAGGGCACAAATATTTTTTAGGGAAGGAAATTCAGTTTTTAGTTCTGGACCATCATATTACTGATCCATGATCAGTATTGACAAAACTCATCTCTTCATTTCTGAATCACTTTCTTTATTTCCCTGCCATTATGCCACATTTTTAAATTTTCTTTTTCTCTGGCTATTCTTAATCTTCTTTGCTGGTTCATTTCTGTATACTGTACCTCTTACCTTGGAGTGCCCAGAGAGATGCTTCCGTTCTTTTCTCTGTCTACTTTTACTTCCTTGGTGATCTCATCCAGTTTAAAGCACCTTCCCCGTTTTCCTTTTCCCAAAGCATCATCACCATTTAGTATATACAGTCAAAGCTTATGCTGTGAGCAACTTGTTCTGCAAGTGCTCTGGAAGACAAGCAAACATTTCTAATAATTTTTGACAAACAAGTGATGTCTTGAAATACAGATGGTATGTGATAATGAACATCACATGATCACAACCAAGCCAATGATTCTTCTCTCTCTCGCTTTGGGATGGTGGGTGGGTCATCTCCCAGCAGCAAGAAGTTATGGAGGAGATCTTGTCTGCAGAGGAGGAAGAAAAAAAGAGGGAGAAATCCCTCACTTCAAGTGAGATTAGGGAAAAATGAAAAATGTGGGAAACTATGCAAAATTTTATAGAAAAGCACCACCCAAGTAAGGTTGTAGTAATGTGAGAATGAATCCATTTAATGACAATGCAATGTCACATTGCCGCAAAATCCTCAAGAGGAGGTAAAAGTCAAGTATCCTTGGATAGGTTCCTTGTTCAAGTTGCATGAAAAGAAGAATATTCCATTGAGCCAATAGATAGCAGTGGTTCAGTGAGCAAGAGTGAAAGTTATCCTATACAATAAGACTCGTCTGTCTTGTCTCCTTCACACCAGCCATGAAAGTTGTCAAAGGTAAGTGTAAGTTAATTTGTTTTTCTTTATAGTTTGTATTTTCTTTATTATTTTGTATTATAATACATTATTGAAGTCATTTTTATATGAATATTTTTGCGTTGTGGAATGAATCATTTGAGTTTCCATTACTGCTTAGATAGAAATTCATTTTGATGTATAAGTACTTTGGATTACAAGCATGTTTCCAGAACAAATTATGCTTGCAAGTGAAGGTTTCACTGTAATTTAAAATTTCTATTGGCTCCCCTGACGCTGTAGATTGAAAACTCCATAAGGACAGTTTTCTCCTCATATTTTTGTTCATTACTTTATTACGAACTTCTGACAGTTCTGGAGCATATAATAGGCTTTCTCAGTAAATAAATGTTAAATGAATACTTAAGAAATTTTTTGAGGATTTATGGCTCATGTGACTTATTCAGGATGGCTGAGGATGGGACCATCTTTGTCTTATTTGTTGTAATATCCCTAGTATCCAGTAAAAGACCTGGATCCTCAGTAAATAATTGTCCAGTGAATAAACAGGAATAGTTTCATAGACCAGGGTGGCAGGATGGTTTGGGGATGATTCCAGCACGTTTTATTTATTTTGCACTTTATTTCCATTATTACATTATAATATATAATAAAATAATTACACATTCACCATAATGCAGAAGCAGTGGGAACCTGAGCTTGTTTTTCTGCAGCTACACAGGTCCTATCCGGGAGAGTGATGTGAAACAGTGAAACCTGAAGTGTATTGCTTATGTCCAGTGTACTCCATAAGCCCCCCCCTTTTTTTTTGTACTGGGAATTGAACTTGGGACCTTGAGTTTGCGAGGCAGGCACCAGAACCACTGAGCTAAATCTCCGGCCCCATAAGCTCATTTTGATTGCTGTCACTGCAGAAAACTGTTTGACAAATACAAGATGTTCGCAATAAAAGCAGGCTTTTCAGTGCTTTTGAGTCAAGCTCCGGATATTCTGCCTTGACTTAAATACAGATTGTATGGAGATTTGAAGTTGTCTCAGATATATTTTAAGGCCACTTTCAAATGGGATCTCAAACGATTGATCCTCTTTTAACATGGGCAAAGCTGATTCACCTGGCTTATTCACAGGTGGATTGCAGATGCATTCCTTCCAAGTATGTGGGTCTTTTGTGGTTGGGAAGTAGCTCAAACCTCATGATAACTGAGATAGGTGATCATGCACCTACTGGGAGAAAGAAGACCCTGGCTTAGTCTCTTTCAGAATCTCCAAATTCCCCATAATTCCAGTTTGTTTTTAAATACAGCTATTTTATCTGCCAATCTGAACAGTTTTCATTCTCCCCAGCCATGACTGAGTTCGTTGAGCAGGTTGAATATGTCATATGAGTAAGCAAGTTTTTAGACCCATTCTGTGTTACTGAAGCATCCTGCCAGTGTTGATTATTTTTCTAGAACATATTTCAGAAGTGGCTCTTGTAACTCAAAAACTGGTCAGAGCACATGTATGTTCTGCCTCTATCTCCTCACTAACAGGCATGAGTTATGCACATATACATTAATATGGTTGAGAATTTTAATTATATCCTTCAAAACTTGTTAAATTCAGGTAACATTTTTCCACTAGCCAGCATTTCTCTATGGATGACAGTGCATAGACTCACATTCAGAAGCAACCTCTTTGGCTTAAGCAGTGAGACCAGAGATCATCCACTCTTGGCAGCCTTTCCATTCGTGTGTATATTGACACAAAATGACCAGTTCAGATTTCCTTATATATAGTCATTCAAAGACTTGAATAGTTCTGCACCTGTGGTGTTGGTTGGCAACAAAAGTGCAGGCAGCTAATCCTTGTGCATATTTTCCTGAAATACAGTACCTTCTGTGAGCCATTCCCAGTAGGGGTTGTGCTCCTATGATAATCTAATGTTGAAAGTTATCTGACAGGAAACAGCTTAGGTAATAATGTGAGCCATGGGTAGCAGCTCACCTCCTGCTGTGCCATGGGCTTCCTGGTCAGTAGGTTGGGGACACCTGTTTGGTATTTTTGGGTATCTATTAAAAACAAAAAGGTCTCTTCTTTATACTACAGATGTGTTTATTCACTAGATATGTCTTTTTCTAGAATCCTGAAAAATACCCTTCTAGAACACTATATCATAATTACAGAATAATCAACCTAAACTTTCTAATTTTACTGAAATGGTAATATGAATTAACTATAGAATTTTTCTTACATAATTTAAATTTTACGTGATTTTTAATATTGTAAATCATTCTCTATACTCATCTTAATATTCTAGTGTATCTTTTAAATATAAAATCTTGACTTTCAGAAAATATCTCAACCTAGGCTAAGTCTTTATGAGTCAAATCTGGTTTCTACGATGTTATTCTTGAGAAAGTGGGAAGAGGATTCAGATAACACTTTTTGATGAAAAAAACACAAAATGTCGTAATGAGATAATAAAAGAATAGCAATAGTTATTACACTGTGTATTGTTATCTTCAAATAGTTATTCAGAGTTCAAGATATAAACCAAAATATTAGTAGCCTTGCACTAGGACTGAAGCAACATCCTTCCGAGAGACTGAGTGAGACAATCTTGGGAAATAGGCTTAGAGAGGGTGAGCACTACATAGCAATCCCCTGGGAATTTTGGGCCCAGACTGGGAAGATCATGGATCCCATTTCCAGATAGCATCTCCAAACCTGTTAGATCATCATCATTTTCTGAGAAATATTTTGACTTCCAAGAAATTGTGCGACAAAATCTAATTTTTTTCTAGGTTAAAATATCCTTTGTAATTTGACCCACCCTATGTTTTCCTTTTTGTATCCTCATTAGTCATTTAAAAATTAATAAATATAAAGAAGGATTGGAGAAATTATAGGACCATAGGTAGTGCTACATATTTTTAACCTAAAGAACACATTTAAGTCTAAATGTGTTCATGTTCATGAATTTTAAAGTATATGGTTTAAACAGAACATACCCATGAGTGACAGTGATAGATCTATGTCTTCTGGTTCCTATACTTTCTTCCACCCTGCATGGTATTGCCTTGTATTTTCAGAACTGTATTCTGAGTACACTTCTTTTCTGGTAAATCCACCAGGCATAAAAAAATTATCCATAGGATATCCCTGGCAGTATCCTTTTATGATTTCTTCCATCTCTAAACATCTTCTGAATTTACAATGCACACACTTTTCTGAGAGCACTTTAAGTATTTATGGAGATGTAAGTATTATAACCTGAGTATGTAAGCTTTTGGTGATCCAAATTAATATAGGAATGAAGTTTAGATGTCTATGTAATTATCATATCCTTTCATCTATCACTGAAATATCAAGAGTTTCATCTGTGCTTTTGACTGGGCCAGATAGCACAAAATATCAGAATATCTGTCACCATACCAGATGCTTTAAATACGTTATTCAGTTTAATCAGTACATCTCTTCAACAGAATTGGCATCCCCGTTTTATAGATATAGAATTTAAGATGCAGAGAGAATAAGTAACTTACCCAAGACTGCATGGTTAGTAGATGGAAAAGTTGTAATGGATGAGCTGATTCATTATTTTTAAAAGGCAGATTCGTATCACAAAATGTGTAATTCTCTGGCTTATATATTGAAACATTGTGTCCTGTTTTTCAGTGTATTGTCTTTGCAATGACATCTGGCCAGATGTGGAATCATATTCGTGGACCTCCATATGCTCATAAGAACCCACACAATGGACAAGTGGTAAGTGTATTTTCTAACCATCAATATTCTGAGCTTTAATCCTTCTTGATGGGAAATGGAAATTATATTTAGCATTTAGTACAAAATGATTCTATTCATAAGCCAAAATATATATTCTCTATTTTCTCCTTTGATACCCCTCTGCATACATACACACAGTGTAAGGGTTACTTTAATGCTGAGTTTTTAAAAAATCATTCAGTATTCCTACCACATCAAATACATTCCCACATAACTATGTTTCCAACTTCATAAAGTGCTACGGCAACAATATGTAATGGCACAAGAGAAAACAGGAACAGCTTGTAGGCAGTATCCTATCAATGATAAATTTAACTTACTTCAAAAAGGTTAAGTAAATATTATTAAAAACCCTAGCGTCATTGCAGTAAAATGTTAGGAATCCTTTGCCACAAAATTAAAAGTGGAACAAACGTGTTGTTATGAGTTCACAGTAGTGGTTGCTCCTGAATTCATATAACTTAGTTCTCTGCCCTCTTTTTTTTGGTGGGTAAGAAAACTGTGACAGATCAATATAGCCTAGTGTTCAGTTTAAGAATTAGTATTAGGTTGGTGAAGATTTAAAACGGTTTAATAATGTGCTTTCTTTTCCACTCTAACTTTTCTACATTTTTCTTTTGGAAAGGATACATATTTTGAGAGAGTAATACAATGATGCACTCTTGTGGACTGATGACCATTTTTCAAAAATGTTTTAACATGTCACTGTGATCTTATCTTCTTACCACTTTGCTCCTGAAGCCCTAGCCCCTTTTTTTTTTTTTTTTTTTTTGGTACTGGAGATCGAACTTGGATCCTTGCGCTTGTGCAGCAGGCAACGAAACCACTGAGCTAAATTCCCGGCCCCAAATATTTTTTATTGTTATTTTTGGTACCGGGGATCGAACTCAGGTCCTTGCGGTTGCAAGGCAGGCGGTGGAACCACTGAGCTAAAACCCCGGCCCCCTAGCCCCTTTCATATGATTTCCTGGCGTAAGCTTCAGGAAATTTCTGCTGATAACAATTATAACAAATGCCATCTGTTGATTACTAAAAGGCACTAGATGTATACAGTATTTATAGGCTAATAGATAAATATTTCCAAATCATACCTTGATTATAATTTTAATACTGATCTGTGTGACGTCCACTAAATTTGGAAAGCCTAAATGGTCCTCATTTCTTGCCCATTTTAATTTTCCTTTTCAACCTAGTTGCTCTGCTACTTTGCAGAGAAACTCAGTATTACTATCTTATTTGTACTGTTTATTGTTCATAAATAAGCTTTTTTTTCTGCTTCCATTCCTGGGATATTTTCTACCTTTATCACCTTGTAGCCATCTTTTAAATCTCATCTAACCTGCCATACCTCTGGGATACATTCCTTCTTACATTCTCTCTCCTTTCCTTTAAATATTTATGAACAAATAATTAATCAGTTTAGATATTATGAAGGTTTTTGGTATAACACTTTTAATCTTTATTGTATAATTTATTAGTTAAATCCTTAAATACACAGTTTCTCGTAAGGTTTTTTAAAACACTCCTGCCAGCTTGAACCGCTGGTGGTACACACAAGACTGTCCTGTCAAGTGGCTTGTACCACTGGTGGTACAAATGGATCTAATTACTTTTATTGGTCTTTTTACTAATAAAATTAATGAAAACCTACTCAGTAGGATAGTCATGAAGGTACCACCAGTGGTTCAAGCCACCTGGAAGTGAGACATGCGAATCATGGCCCTGTCATGAGCATGTTAATCTGTATAACTTGCATACAACTAGTCCTCAGTAATAATTTCATTAAATAATTACAATGGACTCATATCAAGAGATTTTTATTTTAGGTTATCTTAACTCTAAACTTTTTTTTTCTTATTCGTCACAAGCACAATAGGATTAACATGTCACTGTTAATTCACTGCCATGCTCTCCATTTCATAAAATATTTTTCCCTTTTTCTGTGGTCAGTTCCTAAATTAAATCCTGTGTTAGTGATAAGTTGAGTCATACTCTTTGTTTAAACAGTTTGACTGCTGTTTTCTATGTTGGAAGGTTTTTCTTTCTCATTTGTAGTAAGAACGTTTAACATGAAATTTTCTGCCTAACAAATATTTATACAATATAGTATTGTTAACAATAGGCATGATATTTGGCAACATACCTTGAAGACTTACTCATTTTGCATAGTTGAATTGTTTTCCTCATTGGCAGTCAATCCCATCCATTCTTCTCCATTCATCCCTTAGCCACCACCATTGTATTCTCTGCTTCTGAGTTTGACAGTTTTTGATAACTCCTGTAAGTGAAATTATGCGGGATTTTTCCTTCTACCTAGTTTATTTTGCTTAGCATAATGCCCTCAAGGTTCATCTGTGTCAGTGGGTATGGTAGCATTTCCTTTTTTGTAATGGCTAAGTAGTATTGCATTATGTGTATTTACCACACTGTCTTTTTCCCTTTACCTGTCAGTGAATATTTAGGTGTTTCCTACTTCTTTGTGCACATTGCTTCAGTGAACATGGGAGTCCATGTTTTAGCTTTTTGATTAACCTCCATACTATTTATCATAGTACTTGCACCATTTTATAATCCTACCCACAATGGACAGGGGTTCCCTTTTCTTCATATCCTTGTCAACCCTTATAATTTTATTTTAATAATGATCATCCTAACAGGTAGGAGGTGATAGCTCATAGTAATTTTGATTTGTGTTTCCTTGTTGTTACAATTTAGATCAAGAATATCCCTCCAAAGGCCCATGTATTCAAGTTGGGGCTTTTGGAAGGTGATTATATCACAGGCGTACAAACTTTTATCAGTTGATTAATCTGCTGATGAGTGTGTAGTTCAGTGTGTTGTTAGGAGACAGGGCCTGGCGGAAGTTGGTCACTGGGAGTGTGCCTTTGAAGAATGTATCCTGTCTCCAGTACCAACCCCTTCTGCTCTCTTTGACTGTCCCTTCTCTGCTTCCTGGCTGCCATGAGGTTTGGAGCTTTACCCTGCAGTGGTTTTTCTACCTTGGAGGAGGCCTACCATAGAATGAAACGTCTCAAACTGAGCCGAAATAACCCATTCCACCTTGAAGTTGGGTATGTCAGGGATTCTCTTTGACATCAACAGAAAGCTGACTCATTCACCTGGTAATTTGTGATGTTGAAAATCTTTTTATGTATCTTTTGATCATTGCCTGCCTTCTTTGGAAATGTTTATCCAAGTCCTTTGTCTATTTAAAAAATCTAGTTACTTGCTTTTTTGCTCTTGAAGCATAGGCATTGCATATGTATTTTGGGTTATATGCCATTGTCAGGTATATTGTTTGCAAATATTTTCTCCTGTTCTGCAGGTCACCTTTTCTCCCTGTTGATTGTTTTCTTTTCTGTGCAGAAGTTTTTAATTTGATACAGTCCTACTTACCTATTTTTGCTTTGTTGTCATATGCAAAAAGTTATTGTCAAGACTAATCTATGTGTCAGATGCCAAAAAAATGGTTCCTTTACAGCTGGGTAGGTAGTAACTAGAAAGGGACAGCAGAGGCTTCTAAGTATCTTTTTTGTTTTTAATATAGGTGATAGGTGTAAGGTTAGACCAAAGCATGATTGGGACTACTGAGGCAGGGAAAGTCTAAGCAACATGTGATAAGTTTATTGCCATCTAGGTACAGATGGGCCAAGGGCAAGAAGGCCGTTGACATTGAGAGGAGAGTGTGTGCGGTTGATATGGGGCATTTTAGGTAGGGGAGGGGGCACTGGTTGAGAGGGTGGAAAATTTTAGAGTTCCATGGGGGATGGGCCTGGGGCCACCTGGTAAATAGGGCAGTGTTGCGAGCAGGGCAGCTGTTGGCTTCTTCTTATCTTTGTGTTCCTATGGATGCAGGTAACAGGTCTGCTTGGGTGGGGGTCTGGCTTGGGGGCCTTGTCAGTGGGTACACAGGTGCAATGTTAGTGAAAATTCATCTAACTCTAAACTTACAGAGTATGAACTTTAATAATGCATTCCGTAGTTCTATGATTTTTTTGCAGAACATAAAACTTCAAATATATGCGAAACATATGGTGTTGATATTGATAAATCCTGTCAGGTTTTCTATAAAATATTATTATAGATGAATTTATCTATAATAAACCAAATAGGCTGGTTGTAAGGATTAAGTAAAACCATTGCTATCATTGTTATACCCTAATATTTGTCTTTATCAGATGTTTGATAAACACTTCATTTAATATTATTCATTTGGAAATTTATGGTATATATGTATAGAGAAAGAACCTAAGCTGGTTCCTCTCAAACTTATTTTTTTCCTCTGATCCTCTGGCACTGGACACACTGTGGGCAACCTTGATGTCTAATATATAAAGTGCTTTGCCATTTATTATCACCAACTCCAATACTGTGAGGTCGGAGAATTGGTCATTTGGTAAATGAAGAAATATAATATTCCAAGAGAATGTAGAAGAACCAGATGTGAATGGTGGATCTTGAAATATGATTAAGAGTTATTCAAAGACTAAATTGATGATCGATTAAATTATTTTAAAATATAGAGTTTAGAAGTATATATTGTTAGCAACAGTGCTTAATGTTTCAGTCTTAATGCTCTGAGAATTCTAAATGATATGAGTCAGAGATGATACCTACTGTTTCCTGTATAGAGACCGACTAAATATGGGCAAAAGAGGTCTGGCAGAATAGTTTAATGGTAGGCTCACATCTGTGAGACCCTAGGTTCACGAAGCCTAGCCAAAAAAATAATTGTACACACACACACACACACACACACACACACACACAGGTGAAATGCCCTCTTTAAACTTTTATTTTACTTTCTGATCATAAAATAAATGTTTACTAAAGACATTTAGAGAATTCTAAAGAAAATAAAGTCCTGCATTTTTTTGTCCAGGATAAAATATATGATGCAGTTAAGTGCACTGTCAATTGATAGATGGTAGGTTAAAGAGGATGTTATTGTATTGTATTGTATTGAAATATAAAGCATT